ACTACCATCACCTCACCTTTTTTCCAACTTTGTGTCTGTCTCCTTTACATCTTTGAAACACTCTTCTGCTCCCCCCCCCCATCTCGACTATTTTCACTTTGATATTCCTACCCATCTGTGAAGCCTGAAGTCAACTAAAGGTCTATTAATAACTATCAAAACGACTGCCATTTGATATAAATATTTTATCTACGCATATATACGATCGTTTCAATCGCACACGTTCCGGCATTTTCATACAAAGGGAGCACAAGAGGAGACGCTTTCGCAAACATGTAAATCATCTATGCGAACATTGCCCTTGAGTCAGATTGCTTGCTTTGTTTGGGAGGTAAAAGCACGTGACTTATTAAGACGACTCGTCTTAAACCAGCGCAGTCTGCACCTCCTATTTCCACAAACACTCAGTCAAGTTTACAGAATTGCAAAAAACATAATTCGAATAAAATGACTTAAGTAAAAAATGAAACCTGTTATAGAAGACGAAATTTTTTCTACATTACACAATTTTTAGGCACTATCATTATACATTTACCCTGCTATAGAAACTTGTATTCATGTGATACCTCCAAGGACACTTAAATATTGCCTTTGAATTAGTACAGTGTAATGAAAATTTGTGAATATTTACCATTTCTAATGGGCAATTATATCCCATTTTAAAGTTATTATTACCACTATGCCAGAAAATGGTGAAGGCAATTATGATTAATAAGATAGGTTCGATTAAGCGGAAATCCGACTTGAGTAATCAGCTGTATAGAAAATATGTATTAAATTATATTAATATTTGATCGGTAGCAATAGTCAGTCGATTGAAATAACAAATAATTAGTCTTCTAACTGTGGTTTTTTGAAATGGGGGGGGGGGAGGAATGTGACGATAAACCCTCGAAAAATGTATTTAAAGACAGGCTAATTCGATCTTGCAGAGCTTTTAACACAATTTCGACAAATAGCCAATCACATTAAGTTGTGAAAGGTGCTATGCTTCGATAGTATACTTTTAGCAATTTTGAAAATTTCCCGTTTTAAAGTTACTACAGACGAAGTTATTATCAATTTTTTTCTCAATTTAGGAAAGTCCTGGTCACTAGCCTCTTCGACACCAACGCAAGCTTGCAGATAAGCGACATCAGCAGTACCATCAGATTATTAAATCTTCGTTAGAAAAACGCCCGGGTGTACCAAACTTTATCAATTCTCAATGCTACCTCACCGAGCGCAGAAAGGCGGTGAATACAATGTATTAAATATTCAAAACAAATACACAGTTCAATAAATTCACATCAAAATTAGCTGCAAATATACCCCCCCCCTCTTTTTGAAGTCCTCCATGTTCAAGGAAAGGTCAGAAATGTCCCCATCCCCGTTCGTTTTTCCTGACTTCTCACCCTCCTACTCATGTCGAATCCATTAGGAGATCTCATCTGTCCGATAACTGCTTCTGACCAACTTCGATATTCGTGTCAAAAGGGGAGAGAGTGGCACGAGAGGGTGGGGTGGGGGGTTGGGATGGGATGGGATGGAATGGGGTTGTGGAGGCAGTTCTCACGTGCCTAGTGAGATTGTGAACATTTGGTATTTTCTACCCCCCCCCNNNNCCCCCCCCCTCCTCCCCCCCCCTCCCCACTCACATCCCCCACAATCATCGTGTAGAACAAACATCGCACACATGGCTGGGCAGCTGGTGATCAGATAAGCCGAAATTGGAAGGGAATAGTAAGGAAATGTGCGAAATTGGGAATATGCTAATTGAGAACACGGAAGATGGGGAAGCGAGATTGCAAAATGAGTATGATTTTAATTTCCTCCACATCAGCAGCATTATCCGGAGTCAGTGACAGTTAGTCCATTTACCGGAATGTTGATATGGACCCCATCATTAACTTGTGCAAGTGCTTGTGATTATCCTCGGAAATGACAATTTTGGAATTGGTAATGGTACCTATATTCTCCTCTTATTCTTATTGAAATCTGTCTAGGTGAGGAATATTGATAAATAACTTTCCAAATAAGAGCAGTTTACTTCAACACCCTGAACACGTACATTAAATAACCAATAATATACGAACGTCAATTAGCTTTATGGCTAAAAAATCGGTCCTTATAAAAAACTCAGTGATATTTTGTAAATTTAATTGCCTCAATTTGTTCATAGGAAATAAGACAAATATACCCATTGGTTAGTTCAAAATATTCCCATATGATTTCAAATTCTGGATAATTGTATTTAAGTTTCTGACACAATATGATTCTCCTAAGCATAACATTTCACATATTTACGTTCAATGTAGTCTACGCACCTTAGTGGATCACGGATAATTTAATATTTCCATAATATAGAAACAATAAGATTCTTTATACACCCACTTTATATTCTGTTCCTTTCGAACTCTTTATGTCATTACCAACTACAGTGAACCCGTGAGAGTTAGCACCTTGACATGAGTAATAGGAACAGTTTACAAGATTAATAAATAGCAGTTATAGGTCATTGAAATTAGGATAGTATCTGTTCTTGCTAGAAAATAAGTATTTTCAAATTATCCTCGAAAAGTACATTACAAGCAATATGTTTATTTAAAAGTAAATAAACTTTATTTACTAATCTTCCCGCGTCGGAACTCCTTCCAATCGATTAAATCAAGCCAGTTTCATTCACGTATTGAGTGTCTCCCAAATTTTTCTTAACCCCAACGGCAATAAATTTAATTTAGTGCTCTTGATTTCTCCTTCCCCTCCTCCTCCTCCTCCTCCTCCACCACCACCACCTCCACCTCCATCTCCTTTGCAAGCACAACTTTCTTAACTCCGTTCTCACGGCTTTTTTGAAAGAGAGAGAAGTGGGGGGGGGGGGGGNGGGGTACAACTTTTATCAGAGTTGTTGATTGTCATCCCTCCCCCCCCCCCCCCACCCACCCACCATGAAAGCGATAGCCAAATTGAGTTAGCCACAAATTCGTTTATTAGAGTACACTTCGCGTAAAATTAAAATTAATAAATTAAATTGCTACGAGCAAATTGCCCTCCCATTTGACTATGATTTTTCTCTTAAATCCCCACCTATCTACTTACCAGCTTGAGATCAGTATACCTCTAGGGACAAAACTTGACAGTCTGAAATCATCGTGACAGCTTTTTTAAAGCAACTCCTTTTAGTCAACTGTGCTTTATACGGAGGAGAGGAGGGGGGCGGGGGGGGGGGGGGGGGGGGGGGGGGGGGGTGGATGAGCTTGATTGAGCTATCAAAGATATCATGTACTCTTTTATTTCGACTATTGGGCGTTGACTATTGTTTTCATATCGATATTACTTACCTATATGCCTTTCTTTCACAAATTTAGAAAAAATAGAAATCGGTGCGCCACACCGACATCCGGTAGGGTGCACTCTAATTCCTTAACTAATAGGGGGGGGGGTGGAGGGGGGAGGAATAAAGGGAAGACTAGTGTTCGTCAAACTATTATCGCTCTACGGTATGAAATAAGATTCCGTCAACTTTAAATTACTTAGGTCCCAATACAATAAATCGACCGCCCCCCCCCCTTCCAATTATTTAAAGTAAAAACTGGCATACATAAGTATGTCAGTAGCATTTTACTTTGTCCTAATATACAGGACAGAAGAAAAACTTTGAAATACTTTGTCATGCCAAGTATCATGTCTTTCAATGCGCGTCTCTTAAGACATCGACAAAACAATTGGGAGAACAATCTATGTTTGAAATTACAGGAGTTCGGCTCAACGTAAGTGGTCAGAGTTCAAAGGCTGGATGTTAAATAGGGGGGGGGGGGAAGAGCAAGAGTGAATTAGATAGTCGGAGATCATATTAGGAAAATGAACTTTATTGGGAACGTAATTTGGAGAATATACTCACATAAAAATGTGGTAGCCATTACCATGATACATAACTGTCACAAATATACTCAGTTAACATCATCTTGAATGATTAGACGTAAATGATGCTTCCTGTCATGGACCCTAGTCTCAATATAAATCAGACATAAAATAAAGATACATAAATTTCAGCAACTTTACTCATATTATCTGAGGCATAATCAGATTAATTAATGAACATAAACGTTGAAAAATGGCTTGATAGTGTACAGAGGAGTAGATGAGATTACCCTCAGTTTGAAGGGCAATAATAAGCTAACCAGTAGAAACACCGTTAACCACTCACTGATATATACGGATTATCGATTTATTCCAGCTATTTAGCAGCCACGTGCTGAACCATCTCCTTTTTCCAGTTTGCTGCGTACAAGGCAGCCGTCTCTTTTGATCCCAGTCCGGTAGAAATGATAACAGAAAAGCCTGCCTTCTCAATCTTACATTAATAACTTCTTGAAATTGTGTCTTATAGTGATCAGTGAATCTAATCATTGACCTCCCAATTCGTCCTTGGTCCAATATGTTTATCTTTGACTGTCGTCTGGTATATTAAATTGATTTTTAAAAAATGCTCGGACAATTTGCAGGCTCCCAATTCATTCAAATGCATCAAGATTTTCTGCTTGAATAAGGCCATGTCAATGATATTGAGAATAGCATCGTGTTAGCCATTCTCGAAACTTATGAGTTATTAACATTAATAAATAGTACCAAATACTAAAACGACTACATACTTTAGAAAGAACATCACATCATTCCGCCTTCTACAATATGCCAAATCTTGAAGGCTTTCACAAAAAAAGGCTTCACTATTTGACTAATTACTGCAAAATCATAAACTTTTAATAATATCAGACCTGAGTAAGGAGAGAGAGAGAAAGAAAGGGAGAGAAATCAATGTATGTTGCGGGTACACTTCAGCGAACACATCTTATCTCAAAATTTCCCATCGAATTCTACCATAGCCCTATTAGGTATTCGTGCGTGACATGGAGCTATATGACTCTTGCCTAAAAACTTCAACTCTCTTCCTTCCCTAACCTCGCTCTCCCCAAATAAATCGAAATAGACCGCTGAGAGTTGTTCGAATTGCTACACAAACGTTATAAGTCACTGGTAATACAAATAATTCTCAAATCTGGCTTAGTAATAGTAAATGAAACAAAATCGTTGCTACTTACCACAACTGGAATCTTGCTTTTCTGACCAGGGCTTGACGACAGAGACCACAATCCAGATTTCTCATTTTCAGGGAAAGATGCATGTCTGGTGGAATCATATGGTTGTATTCCAGCAATTGAGAATGTTAGAGCAGAGTTATCAGTTCCGGGTTTATCCCGATCTGTTGCATTCAGACGTCCAATGAATGTTCCAGGAGGAGCTGACTCTGAGATGGCGAAATAGAAAAATGATCCGATTTCAGGAGCATGATCGTTTACATCTGTAACTTCGAGAAAGACATGAATAGTCGTAGAAAGTCGTGTTCCTCCACGTCTACCATCAGTGGCGATGACTGAGAAGTTATGATTTTCAGCAATCTCTCTGTCAGGTCCACCAGGCCCTGATGCAATCAACCAACCAGTTGAGGCATCCACTTTCAGCCAAGGTGGAGCATCCCTGCCAGCCGTCCACTCCACTACTGCATTCTCACCCTCATCTGCATCATATGCCATCAGTTGACAAATCTTTGTACCCTGTTTAACATTCTCGACAACCCTGCAAGCTACAGTAGTTCCATCAGAAAGAAATTCATTTTCATTAGACGCCTTGGGCGCGCAGTCATTTTCATCCAGTACTCGGACGTATATACTCACAACCGAGGTCAGCCTTATTTCATTAGGATCACTTGATCCTTCGCCATCAATACAAATCAATCGTAGTTCATGAGAACTCTGAAGTTCACGATTCAAAGGACCAGAAGTTAGAATTTGATAGCCGGTATTCCTTGGTTTCGTTGGCCATTCCGGAAAAGTCGTCTTAATCAGGCGAAAATTAGGAGTTGATGAATTTTTCGAGGGACTCTCAATGAGGTCGCATTCAACCCGACCTCCAACTCCTGTGTCGAAGTCTTCTACAGTCACTGTTGCAATCGGTTCAAGGGCTGGAAGATTTTCTCTAACGCTAAGAGTCTTCTTGCCACTCAGACTGAAAGACGAGTGTGGTGAAACAATTGAAATTGGAAGGACAGTGATTTTTGGAGGGGAGTCATTGATATCATGAATGTAAAGTGCAATCTCTCCTATGGGACTGCTTCGTTGCTGTGACTCATCTTTTGGCGAATCCAATGCTTTGACAAAAAATCGTATACCGGCAGATTCAGTGCCATCGGGAGACGTTTGTTTCAGGGGCAACTGACGTGCGATCGCTTCATAATCAAGGGGATAACGGCGTATTCGTAAAATACCAGTTCGGGAATCAAGATGTAGAAGGCCATTGAGAAGATCATCGGCTTCTGATATCTTGTCAGCATTCGTCATCATGTGGTATTGAATTCGAGCATTTGGGCCAATATCCCCATCCCTTGCCTCAAGTTTCAAGATGTGGCCATTCCTACCCACATCACCCACCGAACCTTCCTTCAGATCAATGTGAACAGGTTGATTAAGCTGAAATTCCTGAGGGGTGGCCCACTCGGGACTATGATTGTTGACATCCAAAACATGAACGCGAAGATGACATACTGTTCTGTAAGAAGGGTTATAATCGCTGGGCTCCTCTTGACTATCCCAAACCGCATACTTGATTAGATAATCCCCAAGGAGTTTAGGATTTGACGACACCGATTGCTTTTTAAAGGGACGATTCAATCGTAGTTGAAAGGTGACTTTAGGCCATGGACGCTGAAGTAGATTAGTTTCTGCTATATCAAGGGAAAATTGATCGCCTGAAAAATCATGGGGAGAAGTTTTCAAATGACGAAATCCATGGATACCATACTTCGGAGTGTCTGCGTCGATCACGATCCATGATGCGAGAACTTCATTTAACTGTACGCTTTCAAGAACTTCTATTGTGGGTATGGAATACTGTTCATCCTTAAGAGCATTAGATGGAATTTGGCAGACAGGACGATTATCATTGATATCATCCAGAATAAACCGTACGAATACTGTTCTTAGCCGTGTTCTTGAATTGAGTTCACCTTGTTGGAGACAATTTATCTGCAATCGAAGAAGACATCCCTCAGGCTCATTAGCTGAGCAAATAGCTTCCCTATCAATTCGTTTAATAACAACTAAATCATGATTGAGAGAGACACGGAAGTACTCATACTGTTCGGCGGGAACAAGGGTGAAATACCTTGATTCAGCTGAGAGAGGAAACTGGGAAGAATTTTGATGGGCGTCGTGGATAGTGATGGCTTTATTGAGGTTTAAAACCGCATGTCCAATTGGGAGTTCCTCGGTTAGTTTTTCCTCAATAACCAGGGCATCTGGTAAGTTGATGGAATGATCTTTTGGATGGGAATAACAGAGGGGGAAAAGAAATCCAAGAAGAAGGATGTATAGGAAAGGAAGGGCAATCATGCTGGTAGTGACATGAGCACAGAACTTAGATTGAGCAAGCGAAGTTGTATGAGCTCGTCAGCCTCACAAACAAACTGCCCAGGCGCGCACTGATTGGACTCACTCAATTTGGCCAATCAAAATGCGGGCGTCAAATCGTAAGCGTACCGTCACTGCCTACAAACACAGCAAATGTGCGTAGATCCTGAGCCTCTGGCCCCTCATTTTACACTCTTGTGCTCAAACATCATTATTCATTTCCCAAAGAATGGAAAACTATTCTCTGCTTTGACCAGTTTAAGCGTGATCAACAGACTTCTGAATTGCATATCAATTATTCAATTTAAGAATTATTTTAAAGTTTTAATAAAAGCGTCAATTAATGTATGCAGTTATTTTAAACAGAACTGATTTTGTCGCATTGGGGAGACCATTGTAGCCAGAATGAACTAATTAATGATTGTGTTTCCATGATGAAACGATTATTTTATATAATAATAAAATGGTGTTAGGGATGTTGTACGCCTGTGTATGAAACGAGCGTCACTAAATGAGGCAATCTATTGAAATTTAAGGTGTGGTTTGCCGACAGCATTTATTTTGCAACAAATATGAAGCCTATATTTTACATAAGAATGTCTCCATTGTATGTAAATATGTTTTTTATGGCATCTCGTAGGAGAAATTTATCCTAGAGGTTCGGCTAATTTCAAAATGAAATAATTAATAATTAAAAGTGGTGTATATTTTCACATTAAAATCCTAAATAATTGTTTCTGGATTAAATGACCATGAGACTTCTCCATTTCCGGGGGATTTAACCTTCAACCTTTCCTATTATCGAATTTTAGTTTCGTTATATACAGAGAGGCGATGTCAAACCATTCATGTCCCATCCGTCAGCCAATTGAATCAGTAATCATAAATTATTAGCTTTAGCTAATTAAAAGTATAATTGACTAAAAGAAGAGACAGACAAATTGGTCAGGATCATGAAAAAGTCTTTCTGCCGATATCGGTACTCTTAGATCTCGGCAATCTTGACAATTTGGATTCGCCACAACTTGCGTCCGAAGATCTTCAAATAGACCACGCATATTCCACCTCAAGGAGATTCTAGGGTTTCATCTAAGTACGAGTTTTAGTCCTTCTTCCCAAATATAAAACTTATTTCATACACCTCTTATCTCAGTTAGTATCTGCGTAAAAATTTTTCCTTATCAACAGTCCAATATAAGCCAACCCTATGAGGACACGAATATTACCAGGGTTTTCGAATCTAAGATAATATTGATTTGAAAAAATATAAAATTTCGAAATATTTATCGTCGAAACTTCTTATCTTGAGAGTTTCTTTTACTGTAGTGTAAATGTTATTGCTAGGTGAGCATAAATGATCGACCGACATGTTCGTCAATTAATGCGAATTAAAATGAACAAGATTGGTCTTCCTATGCACACGAAAATAATCATAATGAACTCCAATTAATTATCAAATTATTAGAATAATAAGCAAAATGGTGGCAGTAAATAGCAAATTTCTGTTTTCATGTTTGTCAAAATATCCCAACTTAACGATTTGTTATTCATTTCCCTCGGCAGCGCCACGTTATCGATTGGCATTTTCCCCGCGAAAGGAGTCAGCTTTCCACTACCGATTAAGGCCTGTTTTTTGTTTTATTTCAACAAATGAATCATAACAACTCCTTTTGACATACGTCTATTAATATGCTTTAGGTGCAAGTAGATATGAGCAGACACAATAATGCATGTGCAGTAGCTGGATATTTAGGCCTGGTAAGTCCGGGGGGTGGCGGAGAGAGGGGTGGGGGGGGGGGGGGGGGGGGGGGGGGGGGGACAGTGAAGCATTTTGACTGCATATCTGGCGCCTACGTAGAGCTAAATGGGCGATTTTCCCCCTTTTAGCTCACTTTCTTGGCGACAGATCTAATTACAAGGGACGTTTGAGTTGACGATACAGAGTGCAGCGGTAGCCAGTCTGTATTATCTTTCCCGCTCTCACCCCCCACCCCTCCTCCTTCTGATTGACTACTGGGGGAAAGTATATAGGGAAAACAAAGTAAGTTAAAGCAGGGAGGTTGCTCTAAAGATGATATCTTCTTGTTATTTGTAGTCTCTAATTACTTCTTGCTAAATTGCTTCCTTAGCGGAAGAAAGGAGGTATAGGGAAACTTTCTGTATATTTCTACCTACTGCTAGTATATTGATAATGCTCTTTGAATTTCGTTGATGCAATAGATGAGCAACTAATGAAGGTAAATTCCTGGTAAAATGTTACTCATGAACCGAAAAAGTCGTTCGTTAAGCACCAGGAAATTCATTTTTTACGCTTCCAGTGGGTATTTCAGGATTAATTCAGTGAATGCATCTTGTGGGTACATTTATGCGAATGCAGAGAATAGAAAAAATGTTTTGTCTACTTTTTTAAGCGAGTCATGAGAGATATTGCTGAACAAATGGGCTCTAAATCCTTGAGCTACATATTTTGGGAAAAAACACTTAACGTATAATATACTATACACCTCGCTGTGTGCTTTATAATCTTTAAATAATATGATTTCAACCAAAATGAACAGCCATTGACGACAATTTCATTTGGAAGTTGTTTAAAAAAACAAAATTTTTAAAGGAGGAGGGTTATTTGAAGTTCCTCGTCATTAAAAACAAATATTTGTGGGCGACACATTGTTTAACTCTCAGAAATGAACTTGTGAAAAAAAGATTTGAGCAAAATTATGCTTATTGTGTCGAGAAAAATAAAGCGGCTTTTATCATTTGTACCTCCCTGTCTTCTTTGAAATCATTTTAATTAGTTACTTTCACTAAAATTTGATTTACACAGACAAAGTGAGTACACATGTGTGGCAGAGGATACGGAAGGTTGAAAAAGAAGGACAGGCTTCTGGTTTCATCTTGGAAAAGAGAGTTGAATTATCCTTGCTTTTTGAATTATTTATATCAAATGGCAGGCGTTTTGATAGTTATCATTAGTCCTTTTGTTGACTTCAGGTTTCACAGAGGGGAGAAGGAACATCAAAGCGAAAAATATTCGAGAGGGGGGAGGGGAACAGAAAAGTGTTTCAAAAATGCAAGAGACAGACACAGCGTGAGTAAAAAAGTGATGTTAGTAGGGTTGAAGTAGTCGAATTTGACATACAGTGGGATGATGGT